CTCTGCTGCTCAACCTACCTGTGGTCTAAGAGATCCCAAGTTTGGTAATTAGACTGTCAAAACAGTTACAGGGCAATAGTTCAGATAAAGGAGGGAGCAAGGATCTGTAACAGTTGCTAAAACCAGAACAGACTTGAAGGAGATGGACATAAATACTTTTTTGCTCTAAAACGATGTATAATTGAGTGTCAGAGAATGTAATGTTTAATGAGGTGTTGTTTGAAAAAGGACAGGGTAATTGAAGAGACAGTATTTAGCCTGTTTGCACAGATAGATTGAGAAGTGACGAAAATTGTGGATTAGGTGCAGACTGTAAGATAGGGAATGAATTTTGCCACCTTGAAGAAAACCACTGTACAGTTGGCTGGAGGCATTGTGGTAGTCTTATTTCCTTGGGAATGCCAGATACTGTCCACAGAAAACTCAGTGTTCAAATTTTTTGAAATAACATCATGTTATCTCATTGTAATGAACTGTATCCACTTTTAATGATTTTAAAATATATTGAATAATCATAACTACGTGCATCAAACAAATTTTTGTACTAAAAAAAATTAAATGAGTTAAAACATTTTTTTGTGTTTTCTTTTCTCTCCAGTTCTTCTAGTCCAAAGTGTACTGCGTGTCAAGAAAGCATAGTAAAAGATAAGGTATTGTTAAAATTTGTTTCTTATTCAAGAGTGTTGAATTGTGTGGCACACATAAGATGTGTTACTGCTTTGGGGCAATTATTTCATAAGCCTAATAAGCTACCTGAGGAAGATAGTTTTGTTATAAAACCTAAACCATGTATTGTATATAGGAAGACAGCTCATTTTTACTGTTAACCACATAGTAGAAAACAACATGTTGGCCTTATCCGTAATGGTCCAGCCAGGTGTCGCATCTTGTTTTCAGAGTTGGGAGCTGCAGCAACACATTGCAGTTGTCCTCCCATCAACTGGGAGGATGATAAGAAATATTACATCTCCTGTAGATGTAGAGATGTCACAGGTGTAGGCAAACCTTACTTCTGATTGCCTCCAGAGCAGTGTCTACTGTTTCACTAATCTGTTTTTACAGTGTGTTGTTCTGTGAAACACGCTAGAACCAGAACAGTGTGGAGTTACAGTAACTGTAATAGTCTTCGCATATAGAAAAGTTGTTTTACCGATACCCTCATTAGTGTATTTTTCACAGTAAAACTTTGTGTTGCCTTTGAAAGGCTGAGGGTGGAGAAAATTCTTTTTGACTTAATACATGTTTTATGCAGGTTTTATGTTAGATTGTTTTTGTTCAGTAAATTCTTTGTGTTAGTAGTCTTTACTGCCTAAATAAATACTTCTAATAGTTACCATTTTCAAGAAAAGGTTAGCAGGTACATTGATCTCTCCTTGTCTTAACACAAAAATAGTTCTCTGAACAGTGCTCAGCGTAGTTCAGTTTTGACATGGATGGGCTCTTCAGGAGCTCAGACTAGTAATCATGATGCCTACTTTATTTGTTGTTTTAACTCTGACTTTCTGGCTCCCAATATACATAGATATGAACACTTGTTAGGAAACTTCGAATATCTCTGAAATAAGAGGAGGACATGAAGGGCAGTGTATATTAAATACGTGTTAGCCTAACTGTGCAAGTTGGTGATTTTCATTAAACTGGAAGCCTCTCTCTTCCCATAGAAGGCCGATATTCAAAATCACTGAAGAGCTTTTAGACAGTCTTAGCCAAACTGTTTAAAAAATACCTTCTTACGTTAACTTCAGTCGGCAAAACTACACCTAGTAACAATGTGAATTACTTTGGAAAAAATACTACAGTGCTGAAAATGGATTATTCACATGAGATTTGTTGATTGATTAAACTTCACATATGCATCTGAAAAGTAAACAGAAATCAGTGACCTTTGTCAGATGAGATTGGAGCAGAATGGTTGCAGCATTTTCTTCTTAACTGATACTGGGGATAGAGTCATAGTCACTGTGGACAGATCTGATCGTAATTTGTTGTTGTTGCTAAATGTTAGCATGTGGAACCATTCTAATTACAGTAACCCTGCAGTATATGCTGTGTAACAGGACTCGGTTGGTCAGAGTAGTGGTGAAAGGTTGGGCTTGGTTCCTTGGTATTTCTTAATGGTCGTGAAAGCAATCCCAAAGTAACTAGAAGTTTTTATCCCTTTGTTTTGGACTTCAAAATAGTAGTGATGGTCTTCAGTCCTTATCTCCCGTTCCTGCCCTTAGCAGTGGGGCTTCTTGAGAGTGCAGTTGTATTGTCTGTTTATCTCTTATGGGGTATCATCCATAAAAGGTGAAAATTCCAAGCCTCGAGCTCTCTATTTTTAACTTCTTGCCGTTCTATTATAGAAAAAAATTGCTGAAATGGCTTATAAATATGAAAATGGAGACACAGTTAAAACCTGCCTATCTGTGAAATAATAAACTTCCTCCAGTCTAAGACCTTAGAAAATGTCTCTAGTTACGTGTTACCACCTAAGTGCGAGTGGGTTTTCCAACTAACCGGTCTAGTCATTGTGGGACTGCCTCCCATGAAATCCTTTCTCTCTGACCCATTGTGCTTTACCTTTTTTTTTTTTTTTTGTCTTACGGTATTGTGCCTAACACACCAGCTTCCCAAACAATGTAGAGAGTTCTACCTTATGCAGGCCTATCATTGGCAAGCAAATAGCAAAAAATTTAGTACCTTTCCCTTTATGTTATTTATAGTAAAAGTGAAACAGTAGTAGAGCATCTGTGCAAATTTTCTCTTTCACTGGGCTGCTTCATAGTGGAGGAATCTGTGATGTGCACATTGAAGAAAAATTGAATGGTAGGATTTTATTTCTGGCTAGAATTAAATGACACTGCAGTAGCCAAATTGCATGGCTTCTACTTTACTTGAACTTGCATATTCTTGAGTGGTTTCACATTTCTGAAATTAAGTGTGGTGTTGTTTTTTTTTTTTTTTCCTATTTTTCAGGTATTTAAGGATAATTGTTGCAGGAGAGAGCTACTTGCCCTTCAAATATACTGTAGGAATGAAAACAAGGGCTGCAAAGAACAACTATCTTTGGGTCAATTACTGGTAAGTAATTTAACATAGTCATAAGTTTCCTTTTGAGTTAAAGAATGAGAAGAAATCTTGCAAATTAAAACCCCAGTCCATTTCTTGACTTGCTCGTACTAGTGGTTAATCTGATTTATAAATGTCAGAGCAGAGTTCAACTGCTTTGACAATCAACTTTTAGATGAGCTATAAGGAATTGTAGTCAAAAATCAGGCGACTGTGTGACTCTAAAGCTCAAAATGTAAATGTGTGAAGCAAATGAAAACTGGAGGGAGAACTAAAATTGGGAAAAATCTTAATGTGAACTTCACAAACGTGAGAAATTTGAATTCCTTTTTGGTGTGTTTTTATTTTTATTTACTATTCTTAATCCTTTTGTGTAAGTGATGGTTTATGTGTGGAGTTAAACCTTTGGCTTCTCCAGATTTCCACAAAATAACTTGTAGCTTTGTTTCATGAAGGCATAATGTAACAATTATCCAGTAATTTTAACAGTCAGAAGGGATGGCTACACAGCAGTCTACAGTGAGATGTGTAGGTACTTAAATTTGCTTTGAATGAGCCAGCTCAGGTGCTTGAACAACTTAAGGCAGCATCTATGTTTATGTGGAATAATATACCCTGAAAAAGAATGTTTACCTTTTTTTTTTTTTTTTTTTTTTTTTTTTCAATAGCCTGTGTGGAATTTTGGACTGTCATAGAATGCTTTTAGTATACCAAGTAGCCTGTGTACATCTATAATACAGTGAAATTTGCTGTGTGGGTAAACAGAGTGTAAAGTCAGAGATGTATCACTGAGTAGATTTGTTAGTGTTTGCTCTTGCGCAACGTAGTGCACAAAATAACATTGCTTATTTTGGTTCTGAAGTCATTTAATGTGGGATGTCTCAAAGGATAGAAGACGTGCAGAAAACTTAGTTGGCTTGAATATTTTTTTTTAATCTTTCAGATGCATTTGAAAACTGATTGTCAGTTTGAAGAACTCTCGTGTCCTCGTGCTGATTGCAAAGAAAAAATACTGAGAAAAGATTTGCCAGATCATGTAGAGAAGACCTGTAAATACCGGGAGACAACCTGTAAATACTGTAAAAGCCAAGTCCCAATGATTATGTTGCAGGTGCAGTATTTTATTGTGTATATATAACGTGATTCCATACATTAATGTGGAATAATAACACTCCTTGTGCTTCTGTGTAGCTGTCAGTAGTGTCTTGGCCTCTCAGCCAGAATTAGTAAGTCATAAAAGAAAACAGGCTGGCTTTCAAAACACACTTTTTTGCTGCAAAAACACCAGCTACTGCACTGACTGGAAATGTTTTCTTTTTTCTGATGTTCAGATACTGCATTTAAAAAAAAAAAAAAAAAAGAGACCCACTGCGTAATATTGCTACTAAAGTAATTTCTTCTATGTTTTTTATTTTGCTTAAATTGATATAATAAATGCAACTACCATGATAACAAGCAAATATTGTGCAGGGAAAGCATAAGCATAGCAATTGACTGGAGAAATAGCATCTTGCTATATAATCCTGCTTGCATACTGTGTGATCTGTCATGATTGGAAAGGAGGAAACAACATAAAAACAAATTGTGTCTTGGCATAACCAGCAAAGGTACATGAGAGGCCTAGGCCAAGTTACTGCTGTTCTTGGCATGTAAGTTGTCTGATAAGCAGCATGTTGTAAGTTAGAAGTATAGAGTAGAGCTTAGGAAAGTCTTACTTTACACGAAGAATTGTAACTGGATTGTGTTTGCATTGTTTTGCATTTAACTGTATTATGCTGAATCTCTCTTGCTGTAATTTAACTTTTTTTTTTTTTTAATTCTATTTACATAGTTTCCGTAGTTTGACAGTCTCAGATTTTGGACCTTAGTATAGTAAGAGTGATGAGATTTTGATTTTTGTTTGTGTTCTTGTGTATTGTTTGTTAGGTGAAGTCTCACAATGATAAGAAGCATTCTTTGCTCAGAGGTGCCATGACAAAAAGGCATAGGTAGAATCTCACCAAGTTCTGATTTAGATCTGGCATTCAGTTATTTGAGTGTATACTTGCAAGGGCTGGTACTTTAAAAATTGTGCGTTACCTAGTGTAAGGTGGCTGAGATGTGAAAATGCACAGAGAAAATGAAGTTTACACTGTTTATTCTTGCACGTTCTGATACAGAGGTGAAAGTGTATTTAGTTAGATTATGGATGCTATTCTCACAGGATTTTCTTTAGGCTGGGAGTTGGCGTGAGGCAAAGAGTGACATTAAAAATGTGTAGTGTCTTAAGAGGCAAAATCAGGGAATATTAAATGTCTTGTACAAGCTGGATTTCCATATCTAAGCAACATGCTCACAGGTTCCTTGTAGGCAATTTCTTTTTATAGGAGAAATGTAGTTAAATTTTTGAGAGTCTGAAATCATCTTTACGTTTTGAGGAATATAGAACTTTGTTTTAGTTTAAGAGCTCTCTCTCTTATCAGATGTTGATGGATTTGACATTTATGAAATCTTTGAAGTAGTGATAGCTTTCAAGATATTCAGAAGCTGAGACAAGTTTTAGTCTACCAGATTTTTAATTCACAGTGAAACCTATTTTAGACCTACATGCTGGAAACAAGAATGGCATATTACTCTGAAGTACAGAAAAGAGTTTGTAAGTGAAGTAATTGTTCTCCAAAATCTTAAATGGTGGAATTCTGAGTTGCTTTAAGAGGTAATAGAATCGGCTTATCCAGAGAGCCAAAGCGGTGAAAATGTACCTTTATGCTGAGATGTCACTAGTTGGATTGTACTAAAGTTGGTATCACTACTCACCTGCCCTTTAAAGTTCTAAATAAATCTGCATTTGTAAATCAGAACATTTCCAAGGAGTGTTACATATTCTTATGTTATCATTGGCTTAGATGTTCCAGTGCATAGAAGAAGGACAGTTTTGTTTCCGTGCTGCTTTAGGGGTGCAGAAAGCTCCGCAATTAGAAGATTAGCAATTGGCTCCTATTCTTAATTTTTTTTTTGCCTCGATTTTTAAAAGTTCAGTGATTATAGAAATACAGATGGTTTTATTTGTTGTGGCCTGATAAAACGTTACCTCATTTTACTTTGCTAATGAGAATCAGAAGCTTAATGAGACTGTACATTTGAATGAAAGACTCCTTTTGACTTCTCATTTGAGTTTTGTCACCCAGAGCTTGAGTTCATCTCTAGCTTTGGTAGCCTGAAAATTTCTCTAATGTAATAATGACTGAAGTAGGCCTCAGTGACTTGAACTGAAAATGGAGTTAAGGGAGCATACCGAGAAAAAAGGTATGCAAATGGAAACAAAAATAATTTTACCGGAGTACGTATGGTTCATGTCTTCATAGAATCCCATGACCCGTGGGGTAGGAAATCCCCGTTGTCGGAGGCAGACTCTTTAGTTAAAATGTTAGTACACATTTTTTTAGACTGCGTTTGTCTTGCCTGCACTGTTACTAGGTGAGTTAACTTCTTAATGTCTTTTCTTTTGTTTAAACCATCTAAAAAGTTTGGGTTTTTTGTCACAAAGCTACCTTTTCCATCGTGTAACTCCTGGCAGATAAAGATGGTACATTGCTAAAACAGAAATTAGTAGCCTGAAATGCTCCTGAATTATTATATTTTTCTGTGAATAATCCACAAAACTACTTGGAAGTGCTTCTCCTATAAAACTGATACTTGGGCAGTAGTGGGATGATACAGATGTGGAAAGACAGCATTACTTAGTGCCCAGGCTCTTCACTGCCACCCTTGCCACAAAAAGGCTGTCCCCAGCAGACCCTGCCAAGGCAATCTGGACTCTACTCAGTTGCCTGCAATACCACTGAGCTGACTGGGGCAGCCACGGGGGAAGACACGAGACATTGTCACCTTGCTCCATTGTCACTGCCTTGGAACCAGTTCTGTTCCCAGTGTGGCACTGGCTTCTCTGGGGAGCCACGTTAATATCCTCCCTTACCTGTGCCAGGTGCCCTGCATGTGGTGTTACCCATGTTATGTGCTGCATTTGGCTCTTGGCTTTGTGTGCTCAACTGTGTGAATTCAGATGGTCGGTAGGAAGGGGATTCTGCCACTGGAATGGGATTAGTCTGGTATATCATGAAGTCACTGGAAAGGCTCCCCTTGGTTTCAGTTGGTGGGCCCTGGGGTGTGGAGTGAGGAGGAGAACTGGAGACAGAGCTGAGAAGAAGTTGTGTGTTGCCTTTTTTTCATGAACTGAGAGTCAATGTCAGAGCTGTTGCCAGATAGTTTGGGCAGGTTAGAGGAGCGAGTTAAAATTAGGGAATGAGTATTAGAAGGGAGCATTATTTTTCTAGTTTTGTAGTTGATAAACCGTTGAAGAAGTTTGTAGGGCAGTAGGCTCCCAGAGCTTCACAGTATTGTGTGATGTCTCTCTTCAACCCTATGACAAATGTGTTCAGAATGAGGGGGGCCAGGTCCAGTCCTTGAGTCTGAACAGAAATGGTCATGCGCATGTGGGCCATTGCTTATCAGAAGAGTACCACGGTCACCCTGACAGAGGTTACTCTGCGGAGAGGTGTTGTCAGTCGGTTAGCATTGCTTCTGGAATGGATATGCATGTCCTGGTGAGGAGGGACTGAGGCTAGCTCCTCACCCCCACCTTTTGGGAGGCTGTCCCAGCTCTCTGGCTAAGGAGCAACTTAGGCTTCCTTCCGTCTGTCGCTGTGACTGTTTACATGTGCTACACGGAGTGAACGAGTGTGAATAAGAAGGATGGCAGGATAGACTTGCTTCAGAACAGCACACCTGATGATCTGCTTTTAAAAGTGAGGAGGCATACATTTACAAATATCTGCAGATTTATGGCAGAGTTCTGAACCAAGGCCTCTCATGTTTAAGAGCTTGGTTTTGGTTCAAAAAATAGACATCATTACTGGGCAAAAAGGGCATGCTATTTGTTCTTCCTTTTCTAAAAGGCTTATGAATTTGGACCTTTGTTCCTTTGCTTTTCTTAAGTACCAGAAATGAAACGGTTTGTTTCAAGTTGAATGGGACATGTCACTTGACATGAAGTGAAATTCTTTTTCAAGATTTTTCATTTTGTTGAGAAAAACCTGAGAAGCAATGTAAATTCAATTAGCTTGGGCCTGCTTTTCTCCCCTCCCTATGGGGATATGGTTTGACATCTGTACTGAAGTATCTATCATCAGCTAGGTTCAGATCAAAATGCCTGCCAACCATCATGAGAAAATTTCAACACCTCTTTGAACTTTGGGTGTATAACAGTAAGACTTAGTATCAGATGTTTGGAAATCAAAATTAGGAAAGAATTGGGACTACCCATACATAGGAACTAGATTCTCTGAGAGTGGGCAACGTACATTACTGGAGAGCTTTTTCATGCACCATATACCTTTACTAAAAAGGATATCTGCAGTGGTTCTGCTCGCTCTTAAAGATGCCCATTTCTGTGAGTAATTCTTGGGGAAGTAAACTTGACTTTTACTATTGTTTCATTGCTCTAAGGAAAAACAATAAAAAGGGAAGAAAATAGATCTATTCTGTGGGGGGAAAACACAAGAAAACCCTCATTTTTGCTTCAGAATATCAATGCATCTATCTAAAGCATAAACAGATGTTTGAACAACTGCAGTTCTGTAACTGCACAACTGGGATAAGCATTGAAAAAAATTTTCTGTGTTTTTTAAATTATTGTAGGATGCTTTTCTTTGCAGGTAAGTCCTATCTTAAATTTCGGAGTGAGAGTTGATTTGTGGTTTGTTTGCTTTTTCCTCTGTAGAAACATGAAGATACAGACTGCCCGTGTGTCATGGTTTCATGTCCTCATAAATGTAGTGTTAAAACACTCATGAGGAGCGAGGTAAGAAGTCATGCCCAGTGTTGTGCTGGAAAAATAATAATTTTTTTAGTAAGATCTCGCAAGAATTTTGCCAGAAGCCGTTTTCTTATTAAAATGTGAGATCATAAAAAAAGCTTTTTCTACCACACAGTTAAGTGTGATAACACTCAAATATTTTTAATGATTTCTTGAAAAAAAAAACAACTTACAAATAAATGATTTCTTAGTTTTGTGTCATTATTACACTTGGCTTGCCCAAGATTATCGCATGTCTTTCCTGCTTTCATTTTTACTAGCTCTCCCCCTGCACTTCCCTTCCCCCAATCGAAGCATTTGTTGAGCACAATAGAGCAGCATCTTGGGGTAGTTAGCTTACATTAAAATAAAGAGAGAATTAAAATTTAGTGCACATTGACAAGAGTTAGTAAAGACTAGAAAAATCGTATAAATGTGTAGAATCGTTGAATGGAAAAACTTGAATTATGATTAAATCTTTAAAAATTATCTGTTAAATCTGGGAAAAAATAGTAACTGACACTTAAAGAATTACTGTAAGATACAAGGTAATGTGAGTACAACATTCCAACAACCAGATACAACAATGCATAAAAATATATATCAATGTATGAAAGCTTGCAGTAATATATAGACCAGATGAAAAAAAAACCTAAAACCTGCCTTGCTTGAATAAATTCATGTTCTTGTACGTTAAAAGAGATAAGTAGCATCTGTCAAAGTCGATGTGCGTTACTTTTTCCTAAAAATAGAACTTACTCACCAAGGATTGGAAGGGTTTATTTAAGTCTTCAGCACTCTGTAAGCCTCACCTAAGGAAAGTTCAGTTTCTGATCTGAGGATAAGCTTTTCTCTTTTCACTGATACTTACTTGCACGTTAGGCACCTGCAAAACACAGGGGCAGTCGTTCTCCCCAGGATAATGAAATATAAAATATATAATAGATATTGTACCTATTAGGGGAAACTGAGCTGCTAAGAAAAGAGAAAATATGTATACTAAATCAGTTCTTTCAGTGCTTACTTCCGAGTTTAGATCCTGGTTCTGGGGCATTTAGGCATATTCTTAAATCTTGACTTCAGCAGTTACTTTGAGAAAAGGTACATCTGAGTGCTATTAAGAATTGACCCATTAAAGCCTGGGTTGTTACACATGTAGTCAGAATTGGGTTCTGAAACCCTTGGTAGGAAAAAGAACTTTAAACAGTCATCTTGCCCTGCATCATCTGTTGCTGTATGTTGCTTAATTTTTTTCTGAAACTGTGAAAATGTATATATTATTACTTAGCTGCATGGTTAGGGACAACGACTCTAATGCAGAAAATAGGAAAATGCCTGCCTAACAGTTTGAGAAAATTCTGTAGTGTACAAGAAGCGTATATCCTATTGCGGAATAAAAGGCAATTTTTCCTGTTTAATTCATAAGTCTTTGGCAGACTTCTAGTTTTGAGAAGTTGAAAATGTGGCCTTCTTGTAAAGCCTGTTATACCACATGTCTCTTTCTTATTTGGTCTTTGCCGAACCACGTGTCTTTTGAAATTATACTGTGAATTTCTACAGATAGTGTTTAGAACGTAATAGGTGTATATCAGAGATGAGTGACGGCTTGCATCTTGGTATCTGCTTTTAAAGACTGCCCTGTCTGTTCCAGAGCAACATGTTCAAAGCAGAACTGGTTCACCACTTCTTTCCGTGGAGGTGGATGAGCTGAGTCATGTGGGACTTATGGTGTGGGAATTTCAAATGAGATTTTGAAACCCAAGAGAGTGATGCCAGCTGAGGAGCTAGACTCGAGCTCCTGTCTGCTTTGTGGGAAATACAAACTGCAGAGAAGAGTATTTGTTGCACTGTCCTTTCCAAAAATGGCTCTTTGCTCCAACTTTTAGGCATTTTGCATCCAACTGCTGCCCTCTGCGCTGCAATGGCTGCTGTCTGTATATATGTATATGCTTCTGTGAATTGGTTTATTTTTTAAATGAAAAGTGGTCTGTGCTCATAATAATTCAAGATATTGGAGTAAATCTCAATCTGTGAAAAATGCAGGCATTTTACTAATCAGTTTTAGTCCTGTGTACTGCATTTTTTTAAAGTTACTTAACTGTACCTATTCTAAAACCCTTTGTCTGTTTCATGCAGTACTTGTTTAGTCTTTTTTGTGTAATTTAACCATTAAATTTAGGCACGGAGAATTGCATGTTATGTTTCGAAAAATTGGTTCTTCATGAAATTAGGATTAGAAAAAAATGTACTTTACTACAGTGAAACTGATCTTAAGACTTCCTCAGAACACCAGTAAAAAATTACTTGTTGAGAAAAGATTAGTCATTCTCTAAAGTCAAATGAAATCATATAAATAATTGTAGTGTGTTCTTTTTGTTTGCATTTTCTTTTTAATTGGGTTGCCTATTGAAATAGTCTTTAGTAGAAGTTTCACTGTATATTAAGTGTATCACACTGTATACTGTATTGGCATGTGTGTGTGGTTTACATATGTGTATATATAGTATTTGCACTTTAGGTCAGACTGGAGAAAATATACACACGTGTATTGTATGTTCTGCAAATGGCACACAATACAAACCTGGTAACCTGTGCCCTTTGTGTTTTGAGCATTATCATGCAAACGTCTTTTGCCAAAACTCACATTTTTTTCCTATTGCAGTTGAATGCACATTTGTCAGAATGTATTAATGCCCCAAGTACCTGTAGTTTTAAGCGTTATGGCTGCACTTTTCAGGTCAGTATATAACAATTGTACTTCCCAATTGATGAAAGTCTGCAAATAGAACCTAACTCTTTGACATGAAAGTTCTGGACTTCTCTAGTCTCGGTTAAGAAAAGGTCATCAAGTTGCACCAAGTGATTATGCAGCAGGTGTTTGGTTTTGCATTTTAAAAATAAACAATGTGAAGAGCCCACACATTCCTGCACTGGTTTGGGAGTTCGGTTATGGGGTGCATCTTGTTGAAATAGGAAGATGATACATTTGAAGAACTTAACTTAGAATAAGAGGAAAGTCACTTTTGTTCTTCAGAAAATAGACTAGTAACTTCAGTTGTTTCTATGAAAGTATTTTCATTTCTTGAGCTAAGTATGTTTATATTTTCTCTCATTTGTGTGTCTTAATATTATTATTAAGGTTAAATATAGATTAGATCACTTAAAACATATTTTTCTGTGCATTCATATGTCTGTGTGCACACAGGTGTATAATCAAAGCATAGCATGAATTATTTTTTTTTTTAAAAAAAGTTTTAGATTTTAATCCTGGCAATCCCTGCGATATTTTAAAAAATAAAAAAGGCCAAACCTCAGAGTTTATTAGTCTCTTCCAATATTCTGTTTCCCTTACCATATATCTTGGGGAATTTGGATGCTTATATAATTAAGACATTAGTCAGGAAATACCAGAAACCTCTGACAGGAAAAAAAGGAGTTTATCAGATAGCGTGATTCGTTAGCCCATGACAACTTAAAGAGACAAGAACTGTAAGCAGCAACTCTTCTCAATAAATTACTTCCTGCAGGTATTTCCAGGTTCTTAAATAACGAGCATTCATCATTTTAAGTGTTAGCAGTAATGCTCTTGGTGGTAGAACTGATCAATGCTGTAACCCCTGCCCACTGTTATGTCGTATGTATTGCCATTCATTTTATGTATGTATATGTGTGCATATATGTACATATATCCACATATATATTTTTAGTATTTTATATAGAGTACATACCTTGAGGATCATTGAAACCCTTTCAGGTGCTTTGCAGCTTATCTACCATCAAAGCTAATATACTCTGCATTGCAAAACACTTACTGAGGTAGGTGTAATGCAACACAATACAAATAAAGTAATATGGTCTGCATCTTATGTACTCTGTATATGATCTATGTGTGTTCTGTAAACTTTTGATATAGTGGTTATTTGTAACAGCATTTATAGGTTGTGCAGAGGCAGCATATCTGAATATCATAGAGCAATCATGGTAACATTTTAGGATGACAAAGTAGGCATTGTAATATCTCTTGAAGTAGTTTATAAAGCTGGCAGTTTCCAGTGATGATAAATTTATCTTAAATATTTGTCTTTAATACTCAACTGAGGGAGAATTTAGTGCTTATGAAGCTGTTCATGAAATACAACAGAAGTTTTAAATTACAGTTTGGGGAATTGGACAGTTTAGGTTTTGTATGACTCAAGAGTTTTATTGTGCTTTATTTAGTGTAAAGCTACACAGAAGACTCTCAAGTACAATTCACTTTGTAAATCTTGTTCATCTTTATTGTCTGTGACGTATCAAGCACACTGGATGGAAATATATGGCAGTTGTATAAAACACTTGCTATATTAAATGTATTCCTGACTTTTGTAAATTCCCAAGTAGATTCCCTTCTCTCTACAGTACTGCAACATGCATCCGTGAACCAAAATATGTAGTGTTGGTTCGATGTCTTGATATACTCTTTCTTTGTAGGTTTAAAAGAAGTGGAATTGGCTAAAATGTATAAATTCTTTGTTGTCACAGGGAACAAACCAACAAATTAAAGCACATGAAGCCAGCTCAGCAGTGCAGCATGTTAACTTATTGAAAGAGTGGAGCAATGCTCTAGAAAATAAGGTATATCTTCTACTCACTTCTAATTTTCATTGATTTCTTTAAATCATATAAAAGTACTGGAAGAAGCGCTTTGTTTCTGTTTAACAGCTGTTCAACACTACAGCTAAAGCACTAATAGGCTCCAAAAGCAATCAAGCCATTTAGCATATCTCGTACCTTTGTTATAATAAAATGCTGTGAGAAACTTGGCTTCGCAACTCCATATACAATTCTCCCCATTGGTAACTTAATTAAAACGCTTTCTTCACATAGATAAACAGTCTGGTACTAAATTTACTCTCTGAGCTGCCTTCTTACAAAAGGGAGGGTTCAGAAAGCTATGGCAGAGCTATGAGCTATATTTTTGCTAGCTCAATATTTTTCCAGAGATAACATTATTAGAAATACCATGTAATAAACTCGTTATTTATTTTATTTATTTTTTTGTTCTTGCATTCCAAGCTTAACGACCTGCAAAGGTTAATTAAATTAAACATTTTGTAGCTCAGGGGCATGATGATTTCTCCTTTAGTGCTAGACCAGCATGAAGTTCATGTTGCAATGCTTCCTTGGGACTCCTGGTTTTAGAATGTTTGGGATTTGGGAGATGCTGGAAATCATATCAGTATCAGCTCAGAATCATTTGAATGACTTAATCATCTGTTCTGCAAATAAAATATAAGGCTTTGATTAAAAAAACCCAACAAAACAAACCACAAATTACTGTTTTCTTAAATCTTTTTGAAAAAGTTTTACATAGCCATTAAAAAAATACCAGTGTAAGCTCAGTGGCAGTTAGGATATGTGTGGCTTGTGACTTCTGTCATCTCACAGCAGACCACTAGCTCAAGTTTAGCAAACTCTGTCTAGAAAGCATGTTCCCTTCTTGGCCTACAATGATCTCTCATTCATGGGTTTCCAGCAAGGTCCTGCAGCCGCAGGGAGCATAGTTTTAAAGCAGAAGTTAACAGGAACAGCAAAATACGATTTTGTTCCCAGCACATTTGTGCACGGACTCCTTGTTTTTGGACTTGAAGCCCTGTAAGGAAACCACTGAACCTGGGAGAGGTCTAGTTATTTTAGGCAGAATTTTTATTACATGTGTAAGTCTTAGTTTGATGATCAATAACAATACTTAAGTTCGCTTTTGCATTTGAATTTCTTTGTTGATGTTGGAACTGTACATTTTTTTTAACAGCTACAAATTCATATCTTTCGTTCTTTTTTCATTAGTCTGATTAAAACTATACAATTTATTTCACATGATAGAAAGAAACCATGTTCCCTGTGACTTCCAGAATAGACCATGTTTTGCCTTTTGTCAGTGTCCTGAGAGATGCTTTGTCCTTTAAAAAATGCCCAGCAGTTCTATGTTTGTCTCTTATAGAGCTAAGAGAATATATACTTTACTACTCTTTTATGTTCAATTTTTGTTTGACCTTTCATTTAGGACATAATTGCTTATCATTGTTTGTCCACTTTTTTTTTTTTCACTTCCTGCTTTATAGACTTCTTCCTATTCATAATAAAGAGTTGAATCACTGGAAATCCCTAGACCATGCCAAGTTACCAGAATAGCTAACCACATATCATATGTCAATGACTTTATTCTAGAGAAGGGTAACAAAATGATTTGTAACTTCATTGATGTTCTCTTCTTTGAGAAAAAATTAATCAATGCCCTGAAGAACAACACTGCAAAGTTAACCTAGCTGATGAATGTCATGGAAATCTTGGCCCTGCTGAAGTCAGTGGAGGTCTTGTTGGTTTCTGTAGGGTCAAGATTTCATTTGGGATACTCACTGTGATATGTATGGAAGGGAAAGGAGAAGTTGCCTTCTCCCAGTCACCATGTTTTTTAACAGTGCTTGTTGAGTATGCAAACTGAAAGTCTTCAGAGCTGCAAAGCTTGTACGAAGTTACGAGTTTGGTATTTGAATGCTGTTGTTGGTAAGGAGTAGTAAGAAGAGGTCAGATGTAAAATCCTGGATCAAAACTTTGTGGGAGAATTAAAATTTGGTGGTTTGTTCACTCTGTGATGGGCCAGACTTGCAGACTGAACTCCCACAGGTTTTGTGATGTTGGAAATAATGACTTGCACGTAATTTTGTGGCTTCGTCACTTTCTTAAAGAAATCTGGTATAAACTGACTTTTCTTTTTTAATATGTGACTTAAATATGGGACCTGTCTGTTTCAATCCAGCTCTTTGTGGTGTAAGAGGGTTTCTTCCATTCTTTTTTAGTAATCAATAATAAGCAAAAGCTTAATTTGAAAAACTGCTGAATAAGAGCATGTTTTATCCTAGCAATATTTCAAATATGACAAGGAAGTAAAGGAAGCTGATGGATGCAGTTTGTAAATGGATGCTGTGTTTCCTTTACCCTGTTTTTTAACTCAAGTTTGAGAGACTTACACCAAATGCAATTAGGAAACTATATTTAGTGTTAAAGATTTCTTATTCGCAAATTGCCACCAAACTACAATTACTGACTTAGCAGTGACAGTTCTGTATGATTAAGGGCTGCAGGACATAATTCTATTTTTCTTGTGTTCTGTAGAACTGTGTGGAAAATCTCAGTGCGAGACAAACCCACGTTTTATAACTTGTACAAAAATGGAAATGTAATGGTAGTGACACAGAGTGTAACTGCCTTATGATTGGGAGGCCTGGGGAGGAAACAATGAGAAAAGGGGAATGTAAAGATCACAATTAACTAAAGAACTCTGATTCATTAAGGAAAAGGAGGATGCAAAAAAACTAAAGTGGCAACCCAGCAGATCTGAAATATGTAGGAGGCAGGGTGCTAGTTTAAATTTAAACTTGTTCTTAAAAATTTTCTCTAGTACCTAGGCACGCATTACTTCAGCCTCGAGATTCTTTCTCTCTCTGCACTGGCAAAATTGGCTTTGTCTCATTTCTGTTGAGCCTTTTCTGCCAGTTTTTCCATGTATAAAATGCGGAACTAATGTATGTGTGTATATCCACACATGCTATGCTATATTGAAAAGTAGATATGCATATATATTATAGTATCTATATTTTTGAGCCACTGTCTGATGAACCTGCTGAATGCCTTGCAGACTTTGGTGGTCCTTTGTCTAGTTTAGGCTAGTATAGAGATCGAAATTATTTACCTCTTTGGCTAGATTCTTCAGTCTAGGAATGCAGTGGCACGTAAGTGATTTGACTGTGTCTGATCAGAGGGCAGTTAGGGTGGCTGAATTCTACAATCTACAAATTTTACCCCACATCAGGGGTAAAAACAGTTTGACCTCAAACTAGCATCTGTGTTGGGGATGATGGTGTAGATCTTTTTGGGGAATGTAGAGCATCCAAGTAATTGGTCTTAACGTGGAATGTTTATCAAGATTTGCCTGGGTCAAAAATGGTACTGCTTGTTACCCATATAAAGATTTATCTGTGGAACTAGTCAGGGCATGTCCAACTGTCACTTCGTGTCAGGTGTTTGTTTTCTATGTTTTTGCCACTGAATAATCTTGCCTGGGGAAAAATAAGAATTTTTTTTTTTTTTTCTAAATAAAGCAACCCACCACCGGAAATCAACCCCCTTCCCCAAACCACATTAATGAACAGAACACAGAATAGTGTAACAGAGAATATTTACTGTATTACTTTCATCCTCAAGGTGATACAATCTATTATATTCTTCTAACAAGGCTCGTGTTTTAAAATAGGAATGAGTCACTAATGAATGAATTCATAAAATGTCAATACAGAGAGAGAATATAATCTGCAGCCTGTAGTTCCTTAGTCTTTTCTACTGGTAGGCACCATTGGATTTTCCTTCAAATGCATGAATCCCTTCTGTATTCACTCATTTCAGGAGTTTTCATCACCATCACATTCTGTGAAGCCAAGCCAATCCCTTGCAGGTGGTGTTTTTCCTTAAACTTGCTGTAGATCAGGATAGATTGGAGTAGATGGGGAAGATTTCCCTTTCCCAACTAGCTTTTCGCTGGTATTGCTTCTGTGCAGGGCTCAAGTTCCTAACACTGATTTAGAGCTAAATAGGTTGTCTCTTCCAAACTCCAAGCAACTCCCAAGTCAGTTAGTGGAAACCAGGAAACTAAGCCATTAAATAAATGGAATAAAGAAAATACTGTGCTTAGACACAAGGGTTTTTTGCTGTTTGTGTATTACATCTGCACTTTCATTAGCCAAAGTTGTACCGATACCATGCTGTGGAAGTGCAAAAGTAGCTTTCAGAAGGTTGGGGTTTATTTATTTATTTGCAAGACATGCAGAGAGATTTTACTAGGATCTCATCCCTTTCATGTGTGTAAGATAGTTTAAAACTAACAGTTATAGGTATTTTTTAATAAACTTTGGCAGGAGTAATTGTAGAATTTCTTCCAGGTGGCCTTGCTCCAGAATGAAAGTTTGGAAAAGAACAAGAGTATACAAACTTTACATAATCAGATTTGTAGCTTTGAAATAGAAATTGAAAGACAGAAGGAAATGCTGCGGAATAATGAATCTAAAATACTTCATTTACAGGTAAGAAATTTAGAATCTCCCCATTAAAGCAGAAATGGTAGTAGCTTCTGTTCTGTGCCTTTACAGTTGTGAAGTGAGGAGTTCTAATTAAAAAAGGGGGGGACAGAGTTTACCTTATTATAAAGCTGTTCTGGTTTCGGTTTTGTTTGGTTTTTTGTTTTTTTTTTTAATTCTTCTGGTCAGTAGCTGGTTTATTGGAGTAAGATACTTCACTAAAACACTGCAGTTGCCTAGCCTATGTTAAAACAACCCCCCTGTTTGAAAGGGAAAATACTGAAAACAAAATCACAAATCTTACCTGAAGAATAATCATAATTATTTTTTTCTACTCTGTGAAAAATAACTGCTTGAGGAACTGCTGTCAAACTGGAGGACAAGATTAGCACCTTAAAACTGTCATATGTATAATGTATATTTCTCTTCTACTTGCCGGTATTTTAAAAAATATTAATCATGAGTGAGATCAGTCTGGTGTGGAATTAATCCAAACGTAGTACAGTGTATTTGAATAAATACACTTTTTTAAATCCATGTTTCTGTTCTTCTGAGGAAAATGTATCTAATTATTGCTTTGCCAGAAGGTCCGAGTTTCTTATTCTGTGGTCTGAATCACCTGGCTAAAAGCCAGCGTCAAACTAGAAATCCTCTGAATGCACTAGCTTGGTGCTTAGCCTAAGCTGAAATTCTTTGCTTTGCATTTAGAGCTGGTTTGGAATGTGGATGCTGGGAATTTGTGTTAGCTTGCGTGATAGTAACAGCAATTAGGGAAACCTCAGGAGATGTTTAGCAAGCAAGGTGTCATTTATGCTTTATTTTAGTATGTCTGCTGCTAGCACATCAGATACCTGCTTTAGCATCCATCTTAAAGGAATTTAAATAAAATTGTCTTTTTGGCTTACTATTTACTTCACATATTAAACTGTAAATATTGATACTTAAGAAAGAGATAACTATCTGGACTAGAGTATGGCTAAAATTCAAAGAATAGCACATCCAAGAGCTCAGAGCCTTGAGACCCTCGATGTAGGTTTATAAGGAAAACTTTTAAGTTCGTGAACAGCAACATTTCTCCTTATAGCACTTATTTCTTTCCATGTTCTGCCCACGTAGTAACCAGTTTAGCCTGCCTTAGTCATTATTACTTGGTCTGATGATAGTCTGGGATATGGCTGCATGCTTACAATATTACATTCTGACACTGGGAAGCTAATCCTTGTATGTATTGATATTGCTGATTGAATCCAGCAGGAGGTAAGTTAATTTGTAAGCCTGGGGTTTTTACACATGCTGTCTCAATAACCAGCAATGAGAGGGGAAATGGAAAAAACACAGAGCAGAGTTTTTCATGATTGTCTAGATGACAGGTTGCAATATCTTTGATTTCCTCAAGCTGTAAGTGTGAGCAAAATCAATTTTCAAATGGTTTATGTTTAGCAAAAAACCCCACAAGGCAATATGGTTGTCAGATTCCAACAGGTGGCTTTTTGGTGATAATAAGTACAGGAGAGGGTGTGTTTTGCTCTTTGTTTTTTTTTTTTCTTTCTTTTCTTTCCTTTTTTTTTTTTTTTTTTTTTTACCCTCCTCCTCTTTACTACTACTTGCCAGCTATTTTAGTTCACTTATTTTAAACCAAACTGTGTTTTACAGCTATTTCAACCTGATACCTTCCACTTAGTGAAACTTCAGTCAGGTTGTTAAGGACATCCTGGAAAGACGCCTCAATTTGGTTTTCCCTGGACAATATGATTACCCTCTTTCTATTGCCTACTGAGAGCTGAAGGATTAGCTACCTGTTGTGAGCCATTCTTTTTCTGGGTTGCACTGAGCAGCCACGGTGATACAAGAGCCACAGATACTTCCAGTGTAGAACTAGCCAATTGAAGCCTGGACAAGCGTTATTTGCTTAGTCCCCCAAGTCCTATACGTGCTAGTAATTTCTAGTACAGTTTCAGTATTAGTTGTCCTGTGACCTTCTTTGTCTTGGGAACAGCTGTTTCTCTGAGCACAACTGGCATCATCTGCACTGCGAGGCATTTAACACAACTCGTGTAAAGGCATCAAAGATGTCTGGGCACTGGCAGGAGCCTCAACCTTGAGATGTTTTGATTCAGATTAATTTTCTATATACTGGTCTCTAGGGGAAGTGTTTTTACCAAGAGAGTATGTGATACTTTTTTGACTGCTGTCTTGTGGAAAGGAGCTTTCACATCCAGTATCTCTTATAAGTATACGGAAGCATATTAGTTATCCAAGTCTTAAGCTGAGTGTGGACATGAGCTACTTAAAGACAAAAGAAACAATGACCTTGTGAATATAAAATGATTTGATTGGTAATACATTCCTTAAAAGGAGGAGGATGTATAATTTGTTTTCCCAGTCAAGTAGTACCGTTGGTTCCTTTTCTGGCGTGTTCTTTAGCTTTTCAGTTTTGCTTTATCAGTTGCAATGGAAAGGTCCATTAGGAGCACTGAAAGAGAGAGAACTGTGAATATAACTTTCTTCAGTTCCTCATGATGTTTTCTAAATTCTTTTAGTAATAATAGTGCTAAAATTATTTATTAGAAATACCAAACAAAACCTAGGTGAAAATCAACATCAAGAAGAGCCCTCAATGATTTGCCAGGCACATAACTCAGGATTAATGATCTGGAGAGGTCAGTTGCTGGAATAAAAAGTGCACGCAGAAAATTGATATCTGCTTCAAAATTTATGAGTACAGTGTGAGACATCTGTGTGCTTTCTAATGGAATAATTAGAGACAGTGAAATTCTCCAGTGCTGTATTAAATTCAGATTTAGTACATCAGTATCTCCCAGCAATGAGGGAGGTTGACTCCCTGTGGGGTAAAAAGCTAGAGATCCCACTGCTTTTTAAAAACAGAATACAAGTCTATTTCTGATTATTCTCTATCTCTTGAATTCTCATAAAGAGGTACAGGAGACAAAATACTACACGTTTGCCAATGTGTAGTAGACGCAGCGAAAAACCACAATTGATTGTGCATGTACAAAGGTAGAATGTTGCACACACGTTGATGGAGAGAAGTTGGTCCCCAGTAACAACTTTTAGTAAACTTTTCCCGAAAGAATAACTTGCTATTCTTCTGCATCTTTACCGCTTTCACAGTTAATTTGAAAATATATTTATTCATTTTGTTTGATAACTGTGTCAGTGCCAAGAGGTCCTAATTGGAAATTAGAGCACCTCTGTGAGGCACTGTACAAACCCACAACCATGTTGTTGTTCTTGCCTTGGAGAGTTCACATGTGAATAAAGGAAAAAGATGAGACTCGGGCACACCTTGAGTTTACTTTTGCATGTTAACTGTGAACTAATGGCCAAATCTTGTGGCCCTGCTCTTACAATGCTCATTCAGGCCGTTCCATGGTGTGTTTCCTTTTTATACGTATAGGGAACAGCCCTTCCCTATTTCATTTTCTGATTACCATCAACCCAAGTGAGAGGGTGTGAGTGTGTTGGTAGCTGATGATTAGTACGTCCAGAGAAATTGCTTAATCTAGGTAATGGGACCGTGCCCCTGCATCTACGATTTAGTACACAGCTTTCCTTCCCAAAGTTGTAATTTTGCAAGTGAGGTATGTAAGCTTGTTTTTAAACACCAACACAGAAATAAATAGTTAATCTTGAAATATGTTAGATTGCTCAGTGCTTTTGAGAAACAACAAAATAAAACACTCCTAGAACCTGATTTTGCTATCTGACTTATCAAATTGACAGCCTTCAATTAATCATTACAGACTTTCAGTATAGCTGAAAACACATGATTAAAAGCAAATGCCTAAAAGGGGAAATGAAGGTTGCATGAGGCAGAAGGGTTTTCCCCATCAGTGGGGAACATTGAATCCACATGGCTAACCAGAAGGCAAATGCAAAATAACTTTATTTTCTTGTTTTGTACTCAACTGCAACTTTTTTTTTTTAAGAAGTGAAACATTGTTTTTATACATTTTGGCACTATATGATAATAAACTGTAAAGTTAGATTTGGAATTTAACTGTGGGTGGTAGCAAAAGTAGTTTCTTGTCTCAAATATTTGTGTTATCATTTGAACTTCACAACTGATTATGGGGTTCTGGCTAAAATTCCTGCTAGTCCAAATTAGCTGTGATAACATAAAGTGCTGTGTATTTCTTGCATCAGATTTGAGCTAGACTGGGAAATGTGTTCTCCTTTATATTTGTAATATACGGAGGTGCTTGCAATGTCCCACTTTTGGAGAATACCAGCCTTTCTATGTATTTTTTTTTTTTTTTTTTTAGTATTATATTTCATGCCTTTCCAAAATCAGCTGGGATTTTTTTCTTTGTTTTCTTAAAAAGACTCAGCCAGCAAGCACCTTCAGGAGGGTTATTCAATTTAGGAAGTAAGGGTGGTGAATCTTAAAAGTGCTTAAGGGGTCAGAAGTGGTAGTTTTGCTTACACTCGTGAGAGCTTCTGCTATGGTTATGGGCATATAATAACTAAGGCTTTGATAACTGGTTTATGTGAGCATGGAGCTTGCGAATGCCTCTGTAGCTGCACGTATCCGTACTCCTGCTCCATGTGTGCAAGAGTACTGATGTTTTTCTGGAGGGGTAAGTTATTTTGCTGTTACTCAATGACAAACACATGCACATGAGCAGCCACTTGATTCACACCATGGTAAGTTGTTGTGCCCATACTTTGTTGCTTAAGTACTCTGACACAAAACTAAACAAGTATCAGCCCATGATATCAATATAGAGACATTCAGGTGATTGTTCTTGCATTGAAAGGTTTTTTTAAAAAAACTTAGACGAGCACACTAACAACTCCTTTTAAAAAAAAAAAAATATTGTGTTGATAATTCTAATAGTGCTGTAATATTAGTACCCATGCAGCACTGAAGATTTTTTGTTTTATAAATACTTGGGCTATTCCTCTAAATTTTCAAGGTTTGTGTTGTTAAAATATTTGACATAAGTGACACTTGTTTATATTGGAAATGTATCTTCTTATCAATATATAATCTGTGTTTAATTTGCATAAATCAATGTATTTTTGTTATTTTAACTTGTAACTTATTGTTTTATAAAGCGAGTGATAGACAGTCAAGCAGAGAAACTGAAAGAACTGGACAAAGAAATCCGTCCCTTCCGACAGAACTGGGAGGAGGCTGACAGCATGAAGAGCAGTGTAGAATCCCTCCAGAACAGAGTGACTGAGCTGGAAAGTGTTGATAAAACTGCAGGGCAAGGAGCTCGAAATACAAGTAAGTGTAAGCACAATGGAACGAAGTATTCTGCAGTGCTGTCAAGAGAGAAATTATGTCCTTTGAAAGGCACTCCCATTGTGATTTTTATGTGGAAGCATCAATAATGCTGATTCTTCTGATTTTTGAATAGGAAGCTGCATAATCCCTTTGTGGATGATGTGGCATTGCTTCCATGCTGTTTCGTAGACTTGGTTCTTGCCTTTTATTATGCTTTCTTGGCCAGTGTCTTGATTACAATGTTAGGTCATTATAAATAGTTTCTCAACTGATCTTTGACAGTTAATAGGTTTCAGCAGCTACTTTAAATATAGTCTCGGCATATCGACAAGTTTTCTTTTATTACTCTTCTCCCCCATGAACGGGTCAACAGTATGGTTATCCCCCTAAAACCAGCTGTCCTGATATCTGTTACAGAGGTGTATTTGATCCAAAGAAAACTCTGAGATGTGCTTGAGAATAAAATTACTGTGCTTGCTGAATAAGGTGAAAACTGGAGTTTGGCAAGATAGTGTAGATCATATGTAAGTGTTTAAATGATTGGGACAAAGAACTTAATATTTAAATAGATCTGTATAAAACAAACCTTCCCTACAAATTCATCTGTTTCTCGGTATTGTGTGTTGGCCAATTTTGCCGGTATGCAAAGACAAAGAGTAATATTTTCATGTGAAGGAAAGAAGACATTAAAAACAGCCCTCCCTCCAAACTAAATAACTGACCATATAATGCAGAGCTAAGCTTGAATTTTTTGTTCTTTTATGATGAACTTGAGACAAGGTAACAGCACTACATTTCTGAGACAAGTAGTGTCTGAGAAGAATATTTTGAGTGATCAGCGGTGCTTCTGAATTTCAGAGGAATTGTGTAGGATGTGTGACCACTTCCAAGGTCTTCACTGCTAATAGCGATCTACAGGTAATGCTACCAAGTCTCCTCTCAAAAAATGGAAGCCTCTGTAGTTATATTGCTTAGTGACCAGACAAAATTTATGTTAATGATTTGAATATTTGACTTTTACTGCATGTGTGATTAACACCCATGTTTGTAAAAATCCCAGTTAACGTAGATACTAGCTGGCAAACTATTGTCTGTGGAAATTGCTTCGTGGGTGACCGAATGCACTTTGTTTCTTGAGGAGGAAAATGTTTTCAAATACAATAGCAGCATTGGCAATTGATTTTTACAGTCTTTAGAAAAACCCCACTTTTCTTACCTTCGTCTTTTCTGTTTTCTAACAGGCTTGCTAGAGACACAGCTGAGCAGACATGATCAGATGCTGAGTGTTCATGATATTCGGCTGGCTGACATGGACCTCCGATTCCAAGTTTTAGAAACTGCCAGTTACAACGGAGTATTAATTTGGAAAATCCGAGATTATAAACGTCGGAAGCAAGAGGCAGTCATGGGGAAGACTCTGTCCTTGTACAGCCAACCCTTTTATACTGGATACTTTGGCTACAAGATGTGTGCCAGAGTTTACCTCAACGGAGATGGCATGGGAAAGGGGACGCACTTGTCACTGTTTTTTGTCATAATGCGTGGAGAATACGATGCGTTGCTTCCTTGGCCGTTTAAACAGAAAGTGACTCTCATGCTAATGGATCAGGGACCGTCTCGACGCCACTTAGGAGATGCTTTCAAGCCGGATCCAAACAGCAGCAGTTTCAAGAAGCCAACTGGAGAAATGAACATTGCATCTGGCTGCCCGGTCTTTGTGGCTCAAACTGTTCTAGAGAATGGAACGTATATTAAAGATGATACTATTTTTATTAAAGTCATAGTGGATACATCGGATCTACCAGACCCCTGACATACAATGGGGGAGGCGGATTAAACAGAAGACAACTCCGTTTGGGGGTTTTATATCAGTTTGTCTTCAGTCAGAGGTCCTAAAGCTCACAGAACCACCTTGTGGAACAGATGGAAGAGTTTGAAGGCATAACTGCATAGGGTCCAATTGCGAAAGTAGCAACACATTAAGAAATCATACCATGGTATATTTTTTAATAGAACTAGCAACACTTAAGCTCTGAAGAATCACTTATCCCTCATGAGGATAGTGATTATCGTCAGAGAGGATTTTTTTTTTTTAACTTATTAATGATCTAGTCAATTGGAGGTGAAAAGACATATACAGTATGTGCTGAATAAATTACTGACTTTTATTTCTTTAAGCTAGAATACAAAAACAAAAAAAAACCTTCACACGTGGGCTAGCTGGAAATTGTCAGCATGTTAAAAGAAGAAATGAAGTAATGTTGCAATTATGATATTATTTGAAAAACTGAGGTGCAATCTTGTCTGAAATATAGTATATTGTCTTTTTAAGGCCTCATCTGGTCTCTGTTTTAATAATTACTTTGTCAGAAGATCTTGGAAAAGCATCCATGTCTTCTCAAAAGTATCTGAATCAAAATCATATTTTTATTTAAAGTTCTATTGTTACAGAAAACATTTTATTTTAAAACTGTTGATAGACTGATATTTCTTGGAAGAAAAATAGAAGATATCAAACACTGGTTATCACTTGTGATAGGAAAAAAAACTATTCAATTCTGTTATTTCTCTTTAGAAATGTAAACCTACAATATATGTCGTAGTTAATGACACTATTTCAAAATTAAGGAAAAATCACTCATGGATGCTGTGCATCATTATCAGATTTATAATTGTTTTCACCCTAAAATAGGGCATTTGTTGAACTTTGGAGTTCTAAACGGAATCCTGTATATTTTTTAAAGTTCTGCCCCATGCTTTCCAATCAAGCTATATATGTTGCACATTATGCTGTCAGCAGTATATAGTATTTTCAGTATTGGGGAGGAGGATTAGTGCTGAAAAAAGCCTATATGTTTGTTCTGTACTAGCAGCCATTGCTTCTTAAGGACAAATCAGCAATGTCTTAATACAGTGATGGTGGCTTGCATGCATACATGTGCCTTAGATGTGCTGTGCTGCTTATAAACCATAGCTTTTTATTCAGATTAATTCTGATATCTGAAATGGTAGTTTAATTGGACTTCAGGCATAATGTTTAGCCTTGTCTTCAGAGCCCTAAGGTACCTTGCCATGTACAAACTAGAAGCCAAAGCCCGTTTCTTTGGCTTCTGGAGCTTCTATGACTTGGCCATGGTGGAATCCATCTTATTCAGGTGCCAAAACGTTATGCTCAGTGCTCCTATGGAGCTTGGACTAGACAGTCTCCATGGCCACTGTGAAGGCAGGCGACATTTTTCCTCTAATGCCTGTGGTTGTAAGGTGGCATCACTTGAAACAGACCCATCTGAGAATTCTGCGGGGCTGCGAATGTATATGCTCATGACAGCTTTTCATAGCAGACAAGCATCCTAACGGGGAATGCACGGGCTTCTTTCTTCTAACAGCCTGAACTGTAGCGGAAAGTGTTTGCTAGCCCTGAAACATGCTGATTGCAACCTGCTGTGTTCATCTGCTTCTATTTAATAGCCTGTGACAAGCAAGTCTAGTGACGCAGCCTGACTGTGGTGCTCTTTAAAATCCAAGAACCGCTTAAGCAGAGCAGACTTGCACCACTGTGTTTTTAGCCTTCGTGGGCTTGAAAGGAAACCTTGCATCTCAGCCTTCAATGTCAGGTTGTATCAGTTTGCTGCTTTTTGAGGCATAGTCACAATTTTCGTCCAAGGTGCAGTTGAATTCATGCCTTTGTATTTCAGCTTGTCTTTGCCGTTGTCTTTTTTGGCTGTGCCTTCACACACAGTGCCTGCAAGAAGTATTTATGAATATACAATGCATGCTAAGTGGTCTTCATGGGTTTTCCAGGCACCTGCTAGAATACTGCCTGCTGCTGACCGTCGCAACCGTCAGCAGCGACTTGTCTTCCTTTTCTTGCCTTCCATTGTCCAGGTACTGTACTCCCTCTATGGTACATAGCTGTCAACAGGTGCAAGTTCAAATATGGAGGCACGTGCTGGCGTTTAATTGCTAGCACGGAAGGAGGACGTTCTGCACAAGAGATAAATATCTATAGATATACCCGCATCTATATCTCTAGATATAATTAGACGGCACTTGCAGTTTTATGCAGGCTGCGTAAGCAAACCCATCACTTAACGCTTTAGGGCGAAGGTTCGCTCAACTCGTGTCATTTTAATAATTGTGAATGTAGGCAGCTGAGCTTTTGTGTTTGTGCATCACAGAATTTTACTGAAAACAGGATTCCCAAGTGGAAATGTCCAAAGGACTCTCCTCCCATTGCTAATGCATGTCTTGTAAACTTAAACGAAACCGTTTGGCCGTCTCAAAAGTTTATATCCTGTTTCAATCTGGGACTTGGAGGAGATTTCTCATCTAAGCAGGGCCCAGCATATTCTGCAGATTTGTGACTACAGTTTCCAACTCCTGTGACAGAATTGCGTTTCTAAATCCAGGCTCTTTAAAAGAGGAGGAAAAAAGAGTTTCCAGCCTTTGTGATTGAAAGAGGACTTTGAAACACGCGAAAAGTGTAAACTAATAGGGAAGTCTTCCTGAGTCTGCACGCAGCCTAAACTAGTAGCTTTAAGAGATCTGAATATCTCCTCTTAGTGTGGGATATTGACTCAGAAACTTCATAGAGAAGTTTAAATATGAACACTGCTAACTATACTAATGCCGATCACTGTAGCAGAAACATCAGTCACTGTTGTATTTCACAGATCTCTATGCTGCTTTCCACATCTCCCAAGTGCCAAAAGCACCAGCTGCCAGAATCTTCAGCTTCACATGGGCAGCTTTTATAATGCAGTAATGTGCTATCGATATAAAAATATTTTTGCATATATGCTTTTTATCACAGTTAATAAAATGGAGGCCTACTGCACTTATTTTTTAAAACTACATGAAGCTGCCAGAGAATTTCCAGTTTGCCAACCCTGCGTACTGTGAAATCCAGGATCTTGCTACACAAACGTAGACACCGCCTGCTGTGGAATACCTGAAGCCTTGACTGTAACACCCCTTTCTCCGCAGAACTCACGGGCCATCTCTGTAGAGTTCTTACTGTGTACATAGAAATCGGTTTCCTCTGCTTTCCAGCAAGGAGTATGTAGCATTTTGTGAAAACAAGGCCACTGTATATTCTCTAAATTGAAAGGAAAAGATACCTGGTGCTTTACTCAACACTTAAATTAATTAACTTTTTCTCTCATCGTTGAAATGCCCTTTATCCTTTTTTCTGTATGTTCCTGACCCAGATATCCAAAGTTTTCTAGGGATTGTCTGTTTAAAATTATTTACGGGGCAACAGTCTGCCCCCACGTATACTCTCGAATCCCGGCTAACTCCTGTGGTGTGCCATTATTGCAAGGGGGTCCCAGAGTATTTGCATTACTTTGAACAGAGTTTCTTCAATGGAACCTTTTTTTCCTCTGCTTAGTAATTCTTAGCAGCGCACAACTGAAGTCTCTTGCTGGTATTCTTTCTTAACGATGATGCTCCGAGTTACGTACAAGCCTCTTCCACTTCCAGCTTTCTCTAGGGAGATTCCAGTGTGTGACAATCTGGATGTTGCCCTTTTTGTACACTCTTCAGCACAGGGTGAGTGCATCTGTTGCCTAGAAAGTCTTGAATTCTAAACAGGATGAAACTATTTGGGTGTTTTAAAGATCAACCTGCGATTATGATGCATGACCATGTCTGCATTACTTCTCTGATCTAATTAAAGGGGTCTTGTTTCAGTTACTGTCTACATGGTACACCTTCAACTGCTGACTTACAATATGCAATGTTGATTTCAGCCTTGTACTGTAAATGTTGTTCTTCACAAAGAGAATGTGCAATAGGAAAAGGGGATGATGGGTGGCATAATTTTGACGGGGGAAAAAAATATGTTGTGGGTAACATGCTAGCATTCTTATAAATATGAAATATGGTTTATTTCCTTTTCCCATGGGTTTTCCTCTTCGGAAAAGGAAAGCTGAAGATATGTGCCTGTTTCTGTGCCTGGTGAATTTCTCAAATGCAAAGATAGTAGAGATTTGTGTTAGTTGTAATTTTAAGTGTTGAACCCATGAATGTTAGAATGTGATTGTATCGCTCGTGTTTCTCGGCTCGCCACGATTATGGCTTGTTGAGATGTGAGTTTAAAAGCTGCCACCTATTTGTATCTGTATACCTTCACGTGGGACAGGCATTTCACCAACAATGCAGGGTTTCTGTTGTTGTTTTGTTTCGTTTTTAAAACACTGGTGCTGTTTGGTCCAAGGCAGAGCCGTGTGTAGGGAGTGACAAGAGAAGTTGCCTGCACCACAGAAGAGTGAAAAATGTGACTGCGGTACTGATGCCTTGATATGATTTAACTATGCAAATATACAAATAGGTGAGGGGGGAAAATTCTTGGGTTGCATACGTAATCTCTTAGTTTTTGCTCTGTAAATTACTCGTACGTGTGTAGGTACATACATATACACACAGACATGCATGCACATATATATGCAAAGTCTTTTCTTTACGTAGAAGTGATGAAACAAAACCCTTTCCTCCAAATTATACTTGATCAAGTGGTGCAAATATAACTTGCTGCTGCTAAGGGAGGATCTTGGCTAAGGGCAAACTTTGGATTCACATCTTCCAGGTTTGAAGACCTGTATATAGCAAACAAACAGTTTGTTTAGCCTTTCTGAAGACCTTGGAATGTCATCTGGGACACATGTCCTTCCTCATACTCCGCTAATTTGGAGATTGCTGTATTTTAGAAAAAACATAGGATGGGCAACTTGTTAATTGCAAATTCTTTCCTTTAATTTGGGAATGAAAGATAATAAAAAGCAGCTGGACCTCTTCCTGGAATTCCTGTCCTGTTCAGTCAATACCTCTATATTCTGGTTGACCTAGAAATCACAGCTACTGCAATAAAAATGATCGCTTCTGGAATTCAGTCTGTCTGAGAGTAGTTTTTAGTGCTATATGCAGCATAGTAAGCACTTTGCATCTGCAACCGTGTTATTCTTATAGCAAGTGCTATTTGTCTTTTCTGGAAAAAGGAACTCAAAGATGAGATGTGAAGCGCCTTGCCCAGAGTCACGAAAGGAATCTCCTGGAGCTGGGATTGAATGAGAGGTTCCAGTTCCCTAGTGTTATCTTCAAATCACTAGGTTTTACTCTTTTTAATACATTTGTCCCTTTAAAGGAACTGAAAAAAAAAAACAAGTTGACATACCTTAAAAACCCACATCAGGACAGTAAGGGCTAGAATTAAACTTACAAGCTGTCGTGATTTGGGGTTGTACGTGTATGGTAGCCCAGATGTTGCTCACTACTTGGCGGCGCTTTGCACGCCCTGCAGAGTGGAAGGCCAGCGCGATGTGTCGGTGTGA